TTTTTTTTCCTCAAAATTGGAAGTCTCTTATTTATAGCGCAAGATAAAAAAAACGCACAGGTGATCAAATACCACCAAAAGACAGCTCTATTCGTGAGAAAAAAAGGACGTAAATTTCATTTGGATGCAGTGTTGCATGACCGTGAAATTGTCAGTTAACGTAATGCAGCGCCGTAACGCAAAAAATGGCCTGGTCGGGGGGGGGGGGGGGGGGGGGGGGGGGGGGGGGGGGGGGGGGGTAAATCCTCTGGAGGGCAGGGGGTTAAGGCAGAAAAAAACCCCCACTAAACTCTCCTAAACACGTGTACAAAAATACTCTATATGGGCGTTTCTTTCTGCTCAGGAACTGGTGTTGTTTTGGGCCCAGTGTGCATGGAGCCTACAGTGAAATTAAAGGGAACGTTGAAAAACTCGAATGACGGGATCTAAATGCAGAAGAGAGATATGCAATGCCTTTTCTGCAAAAAAAAAAAAAAACATGTAAAATGTGAGTCTGAGTGTAATGTGTAACTCACAAAACATAATTACAGCCGAAAATATTTCCCCGTGTCGCCTGCGTGTAACGCAGTTTAAATTTTTCACACGTAGGCACTCCCAAAATTTGTATTTACATCCATATGTGTGCTTGTGGGGGTGCTAAAAAAAAAAAATCAGGGGGAATTTGGTGTAATTAAATTTTTTTTTTTTTTTTTTAAAAAGTCCTCTATACGATGATATTTTGGTGACAGGTTCTCTTTAACCGCTTCCGGTCCGCCCATAGTCTGTAGATGGCAGGCGGAAAGCTTTGCCGATGCGGGCTAACATACTTGTACATCAGTCCGCGGCTCACAGAACGCTCACCCGGGAGCTCCTGGGCGATCGGTGCATCACCCGGACAAAGAAGATCACATTACCGCTGTGTCTGGGAGATCACATGGTGTTTTACAAAGTGATTGCTGTGTCCAATCACAGCAATCACATAGTAAACAACAGAACGTGAACCTAAGCATCGGCTCTCTCTGCTCCCAGTGTGATAGCACAGAGAGGCGATATTGCAGCCTGAGGGTACAGCAGCCTGGCAGGAGCCATCTAAACTCACAGACTGAAGTGGCAGCCATCCCAGTGTCCCTGATTACCGCCCCAGTGTAGGAAGAAAAAGGGGTCCAGTCAGCCCCTGTCACCTGTCCCAGTGCTCACAGTACTCCATACCACCATCCTGAACACCCCATACTCCCTACCAGCGTCCTGAACACCCCATACTCCCTACCAGCGTCCTGATCACCGCCATACCCTATACCAACATCCTGATCACCGCCATACCTTATACCACCATCCTGATCACCCGCCATACCCTATACCACCATCCTGATCTCCGCCATACCCCATACCAGCATCCTGATCACCACCAATCCCCCATACCAGCATCCTGATCACCATCATACTCCCTATACCAGCATCCTGATCATCACCATATCCCTATACCAGCATCCTGATCACCGCCAACCCCATACCACCATCCTGATCACCACCATACCTCATACCAGCGTCCTGAACACTCCATATCCATACCAGTGTCCTGATCATCGTCATCCCTATACCAACATCCTGATCTCCGCCAATACCCTATACCACCATCCTGATCACCGCCAATCCCTATACCACATCCTGATCACCACCATACTCCCTATACCAGCATCCTGATCACCGCCACATCTCATACCACCATCCTGATCACCACCACACACCTATACCATCGGCCCTGATCACCGCCATACCCCCCATACCAACATTCTGATCACCACCACACACCATACCACCATCCTGATCACCGCCAATCCCCATATACCACCATCCTGATCACCACCATACTCCATATACCAACATCCTGATCACCGCCACATCCATACCACCATCCTGATCACCACCAACACCATACCATCGGCCTGATCACCGCCATATCCCCATACCAGCATTCTGATCACCACCACACACACCATACCACCATCCTGATCACCGCCACACCCCATACAGCATCCTGATCACCGCCATACACCATACCAGCATCCTGATCACCGCCATACCCCATACCAGCATCCTGATCACCGCCATACCCCCATACCAACATCCTGATCACCGCCAATGCCCCATACCAACATCCTGATCACCGCCATACACCATACCAGCGTTCTGATCACCGCCAATCCCTATACCAGCATCCTGATCACCACCACCACCCCCATACCAACATCCTGATCACCGCCACAATCCCTCATACCAGCATCCTGATCACCGCCATACACCATACCAGCATCCTGATCACTGCCAACCCCTAATACCATCTTGACACCGCCATACCCCCTACCAACATCCTGATCACTGACATATCCCTATACCAACATCCTGATCACCACCATATCCCTCATACCAGCACCCTGATCACCACCATATCCCTATACCAGCACCCTTATCACCGCCATCCCCCTACCAGCATCCTGATCAACGGCCAACCCCTATACCAACATCCTGATCCCGCCATCCCATATACCATACCAGCATCCTGATCACCCGCCAATACCCCATATACCAACATCCTGATCACCACCCATACTCCATACCAGCATCCTGATCACCGCCATCCTATACCAGCATTCTGATCACCACCACACCCCATACCACCATCCTGATCACCGCCACACCCCTATACCAACATCCTGATCACCGCCAACACCCCATACCAACATCCTGATCACCGCCAATCCCTATACCAACATCCTGATCACCGCCATATCCCCCATACCAGCATCCTGATCACCGCCATGCCCCATACCAGCATCCTGATCACCGCCATACACCATACCAGCATCCTGATCACCGCCACACCCCATACCAGCATCCTGATCACCGCCATATCCCTATACCAGCATCCTGATCACCGCCATACCCCATACCACCATCCTGATCACCACCATACCCTCATACCAGCATCCTGAACACTCCATACTCCATACCAGTGTCCTGATCATCGTCATACCCTATACCAACATCCTGATCTCCGCCAATACCCTATACCACCATTCTGATCACCGCCATACCCCATACCACCATCCTGATCACCACCATACCCATACCAGCATCCTGATCACCGCCACATCTCATACCACCATCCTGATCACCACCACACACCATACCATCGGCCTGATCACCGCCATACCCCATACCAGCATTCTGATCACCACCACACACCATACCACCATCCTGATCAGCGCCACACCCCATAGCAGCATCCTGATCACCGCATATACACCATACCAGCATCCTGATCACCGCCAATAGTACCCCATACCAGCATCCTGATCACCGCCATCCCCATACCAGCATCCTGATCACCGCCATACACCATACCAGAGTTCTGATCACCGCCACACCCCATACCAGCATCCAGATCACCACCACACCCCATATCACCATCATCCTGATCACCGCCACCCTCATACCAGCATCCTGATCACCGCCATACCCCATACCAGCATCCTGATCACCGCCATACCCCATACCAGCATCCTGATCACCGCCATGCCCCATACCAGCATCCTGATCACCGCCATACACCATACCAGCATCCTGATCACCGCCACACCCCCCACCAGCATCCTGATCACCGCCATACCCCATACCAGCATCCTGATCACCGCCATACCCCATACCACCATCCTGATCACCACCATACCTCATACCAGCGTCCTGAACACTCCATACCATACCATACCAGTGTCCTGATCATCGTCATACCCTATACCAACATCCTGATCTCCGCCATACCCTATACCACCATTCTGATCACCGCCATATCCCCATACCACATCCTGATCACCACCATACTCCATACCAGCATCCTGATCACCGCCACATCCATACCACCATCCTGATCACCACCACACACCATACCATCGGCCTGATCACCGCCATACCCCCATACCAGCATTCTGATCACCACCACACACCATACCACCATCCTGATCAGCGCCACACCCCATAGCAGCATCCTGATCACCGCCATACCCATACCAGCATCCTGATCACCGCCATACCCCATACCAGCATCCTGATCACCGCCATATCCCCATACCAGCATCCTGATCACCGCCATGCCCCATACCAGCATCCTGATCACCGCCATACACCATACCAGAGTTCTGATCACCGCCACACCCCATACCAGCATCCAGATCACCACCACACCCCATATCACCATCCTGATCACGCCACACCCTCATACCAGCATCCTGATCACTGCCACACACCCCAAATAAGCATCTTGACCATTGCCATATACCCCCTACCAGCATCCTGATCACTGACATACTCCATATCAGCATTCTGATCACCACCATACCTCATACCAGCATCCTGATCACCGCCATGCCCCATACCAGCATCCTGATCACCGCCACCATACCCATACCATCCTGATCACCGCCACACCCCACACCAGCATCCTGATCACCGCCACACCTCATACCAGCATCCTGATCACCGCCATACACCATACCAGCATCCTGATCACTGCCACACCCCACACCAGCATCCTGATCACCGCCACACCTCATACCAGCATCTTGATCACCGCCATACACCATACCAGCATCCTGATCACCGCCACACCACATACCAGCATCCTGATCACCGCCATACCACATACCAGCGCTCTGATCACCGCCACACCCCCCATACCAGCATTCTGATCCCCGCCATACCCCCATACCAGCATCCTGATCACCGCATACCTCATACCAGCATCCTGATCACCACCACACCCCCATATCACCATCCTGATCACCGCCACACCTCATACCAGCATCCTGATCACCGCCAATCCACCATACCAGCATCCTGATCACTGCCACACCCCAAATAAGCATCTTGACCATCGCCCATACCCCCTACCAGCATCCTGATCACTGACATACTCCATATCAGCATTCTGATCACCGCCATACCCTCATACCAGCACCCTCATCACCACCATATCTCATACCAGCACCCTTATCACCGCGAATACCCCCTACCAGCATCCTGATCAACGGCATACCCCATATACCAACATCCTGATCATCGCCATACAACCTCATACCAGCATCCTGATTACCGCCATACCCCCCTACTGCATCCTGAGCACCGCCATATCCCATACCAGCATCCTGATCACCGCCATACCCCCTAGCCACATCCCGATCAACGCCACACATCCCCCAAACAAGCATCCTGATCACTCCCATACCTCATACCAGCATCCTAGTCACCGCCATACCTCATACCAGCGTCATGATCACCACCATACTTCAGGATTCAGCATTCTGATCACCGACAACCCCATACCAGCATCCTGATCATCTGCCATACCCCATACCAGCACCCTCATCCTGATCACATACATACCTATACCAGCACCCTGATCACCGCCATACCATATACCAACATCCTGATCACCGCCATACCCCATACCAACATCCTGATCACCGCCATACCCATACCACCATCCTGATCACCACCAATCCACACCAGAATCCTGATCCCGCCAATCCCATACCAACATCCTGATCACCGCCACACCCATACCACCATCCTGATCACCGCCATACCCCATACCACCATCCTGATCACCACCATTCCGCATACCAGCATCCTAATCACCGCCAACTCCCTTACCAGCATCCTGATCACCGCCACCCTCATACCAGCATCCTGATCACACCGCCATACTCCTTACCAGCATCCTGATCACCGCCACACTTATACCACCACATCCTGATCACCGCCATACCCCATACCACCATCCTGATCACCGCCATACCCATACCAGCATCCTGATCACCGCCATCCCCATACCAGCATCCTATCACCGCCATACCCTCATACCAGCGTCATGATCACCACCATACTTCATAACAGCATTCTGATCACTGACATACCCCATACCAGCATCCTGATCACTGCCATACCCCATACCAGCACCCTCATCACCGCCATACCTCATACCACCATCCTGATCACCGCCATACCCATACCAACATCCTGATCACCACCATACCCCATACCAGCGTCCTGAATCACCGCCACACCCTTACCAGCCATGATCACCGCCACCATATACCAGCATCCTGATCCCCCCCATACCCCACACCAGCATCCTGATCACCGCCACACCTCATACCACCATCCTGATCACCGCCATACCCCCATACCACCATCCTGATCACCACCATTCCGCATACCAGCGTCCTAATCACCGCACACTCCTTACCAGCATCCTGATCACCGCCACACTTCATACCAGCATCCTGATCACCGCCATACCCCATACCACCATCCTGATCACCCCCATACTCCATACCAGCATCCTGATCACCGCCATACCCCATACCAGCATCTGATCACTGCCATACACCATACCAGCATCCTGATCACCGCCACACCCCACACCAGCATCCTGATCACCACCACATCTCATACCACCATCCTGATCACCGCCACATCTCTATACCACCATCCTGATAACCGCCACAACTCATACCACCATCCTGATCACCACCACACACCATACCACCATCCTGATTACCGCCATATCCCATACCAGCGTCCTAATCACAGCCACACTTCATAACAGCATCCTAATCACCGCCATAAACCCCATACCAGCATCCTGATCACCACCATACCCCATACCAGCATCCTGATCACCGCCATACCCCATACCAGCGCCCTGATCACCGCCATACCCCATACCAGCATCTTGATCACCGCCACACACCATACCAGCATCCTGTTTACCGCCACACCCCATACCAGCGTCCTGATCACCACCATACTTCATAACAGCATTCTGGTCACCCGACATACCCCATACCAGCATCCTGATCACTGCCATACCCCATACCAGCATCTCATCATCACCGCCATACCTCATACCAGCACACTGATCACCGCCCTCATACCAGCACACTGATCACCGCCATACCCCCAACCAGCATTCTGATCACCGCCATACCTCTTACTAGCACCCTGATCACAGCCACACCCAATATCAGCATCTTGATCATCGCCATACCCCCAACCAGCATTCTGATCACCGTCATACCCCCTACCAGCATTCTGATCATCGCCATACCCCCAACCAGCATTCTGATCACCGCCATACCCCCAACCAGCATTCTGATCACCCGCCATACCCCCAACCATCATTCTGATCACCGTCATACCGCCTACCAGCATTCTGATCACCCAAACTGCCATACCCCATACCAGCATCCTTATCACCACCATATCCCATACCAGCATCCTGATCACCGCCATACCCCCTACCAGCATCCTCATCACCGCCATACCCCTACCAGCACCCTGATCTCCGCCATACCCCATATCAGCATCCTGATCACCACCACCATACCCTATACCAGCATTCTGATCACCATCATACCCCATAGGAGCATCCTGATCACCGCCATACACCCATACCCCATCCTAATCACCACCATACCCCATACCAGTGTCCTGATAACCGCCATACCCCCTACCAGCATCCGGATCACCGCCATACACCATACCAGCATCTCGATCACCGCCATACACCATACCAGCATCCTGATAACCGCCATACCCCATACCAGTGTTCTGATCACTCTCATACCCCCATACCAGCATCCTGATAACCACCGTACTCCATACCAGCATTCTGATCATCGCCATACTCCATATCAACATCTTGATCACTCCCAAACCTCATACCAGCATCCTGATCACTGTCATACACTATACCAGCATCCTGATCACCGCCATACCCCATACCAGCATCCTGATCACCGCCATACCCCATACCAGCATCCTGATCACCGCCATACCCCATATCAGCATCATGATCACCTCCATACCCCATACCAGCATCCTGATCACCGCCATACCCCATACCAGCATCCTGATCACTGCCATACCCCATACCAGCATCCTGATCACTGCCATACCCCATACCAGCATCCTGATCACTGCCATACCACATACCAGCATTCTGATCACCGCCATACCCCATACCAGCATCCTAATCACTGCCATACCACATACCAGCATCCTAATCACTGCCATACCACATACCAGCATTCTGATCACTGTTATACACTCCCAGTGGCTGCAGCCATCAGAGGTGTGTGTAACCCCCACCCTTGCCACTGACGTATGTTAAAAGCCTTAGGGTAGCTAAGTATAAAAACAGAAAAATCACCATAACAGACCTAACTTATAATCAGTAGGATATGTCCCTTGTGCTGATTCCTCTTTTTGTAGAAATCCAACCTCCTCACACACCCCTGTTGCCATAATCTTCCAGTGTGGTAGGGGTTAATCAAACTAAGGGAGCTGTCACATCTATACCTGCCCTTTCCACCATGCTCCTCCATTCATACAAGCTTCTCTAAATATAACAGGATCTATGAATGGATGTGGTGGAGCTATCAGTCATTTACCCCTCTTCCATTCATAGATCCTGTTCTGTGTGGAAATAGTTTTCTCAAGATTATACAATCTCCTTTAGAATGACCAAAACTATGGAATATAAGGACAAATCTAATCAGGCCAGACCTCGCACTGTATAGCTGATGGCAGTTCTGAAGGAGATTGTGCAATCAGATTATATAGTGTATACTCAGCTTTAATATAAGGTCCTATGTCTATATGACATTTTATGTACACTTACTTGTATGCGAGTTTCACAGATACCATTTTCCTGGTCGGGACTGTGGTACACGTCTGAAGGTGGATGCACCGCGCTCTTCTGTGAATCATCGATCTGTACCAACGAGGACAAAACAGACATCTTAGAAACATTTGTGTATAGATTTGAAAAAATACAGTTTTTTTTTTTAAAATGCCGACAAGTACAGGCGTTGAATACGTGAGGACATCATGCGTAGGCCACGCATGACCTCATCATATATTCAACGCCTGTACTCCTTGCTTCCAGTTTTGAATACCATAGAGATGATCGGAGATGTTCCGGTCCAAAATCAACTTTATGGTAGGCCGCCAGAGCTGCCGGCTTCAGTGTTGATCCAGGACTGGAGAGGCTGGAAAAGCACTGGAGGGTGGCGGGGGGTGAGGGTGACCCCTCTTGCTGCCTGTAAAAGCAACCCAGCAGCTATTTAACCACTGGGATGGCTTTTAAATAAAAAAGAATTACCTTCAGAAAAAAATAGTGATATGATGCCTGTAGCTTCAGGCATCAACCCAGTATACCCACTGAAAGTCCAGGACATCATATGATGTCCTACAGGCAGGAAACGTTATACCCATAGCCACCGTTTGTCATCTATGATTAGTTACTATAGGAGGAAAAGCTACTGCATGCTGAATATCAGGACAAACTACTTCCAAACACCTTATTTATAGTAGTAGTGAACATACACTATATTGCCAAAAGTATTGGTCGGCCTGCCTTTACACACACATGACCTTTAATGGCCCCCCAGTCTTAGTCCGTAGGGTTCAATATTGAGTTGGCCCCGCCCTTTGCAGCTATAACAGCTTCAACTCTTCTGGGAAGGCCGTCCACAAGGTTTCGGAGGGTGTCTATGGGAAGGTTGGACCATTCTTCCAGAAGCACATTGTGAGATATTGGACAAGAAGGCCTGGCTCACAGTCTCTAATTCATCCCAAAGATGTTCTATGAGGTTGAGGTCAGGCCAGTCAAGTTCCTCCACCCCAAACTGGCTCCTCCATGTCTTTATGGCCCTTGCTTTGTGCACTGGTGTGCAGTCATGTTGGAACAGGAAGGGGCCATCCCCAAACTCTTCCCACAAAGTTGGGAGCATGAAATTGTCCAAAATGTCTTGGTATGCTGACGCCCTTCACTGGAACTAGGGGGCCAAGCCCGACCCCTGAAGAACAACCCCACACCATAATCCCCCTTCCACCAAACTTTACACTTGGCACAAAGCAGTCAGGCAAGTACCGTTCTCCTGGAAAATGCAGGACAGACTAAAACATTTAATGTGAAAACGGCTTAATGTAGCTTAATGTGTGATAAACTGCCTAAATCTCAATCAATTGACTTGAAACGTTGCACAGCCCAAGTTCTCAACATCTCAAACATGTCCTAGAAGTTTCATAGATTTTGGCCTTCCACAAAGAAAATGGGGGACATTAACCGCTTGCCGCCCTGCCACTGTACATATACGGCGGCAGGGCGGCACTCACAGGCAAAACCACGTTTTAAAACGTGTGTTTTGTAAACAAATAGGGGGTGCGCGCGAGGCGCGCTGCCGCCCTATTTGTCCTGTGGATCACCGCCGCAGATGTCAGTTGCCGGGTCACAGCCGCTCGTTAGCGGCTATGTCCCGGCGATCGGCGGTAAACGGTGTCACCTCTCTGTCAGCTCGAGGATGAGCTAATCTAGAAAGAACAGTTTCTCTTTCTCGATCAGCCTTGTCCCGCCCCGTACACACCCCCGCCCCCTAGTAAAAACACTCCCCTCACTCCTATAACCCTTCCCTGCAAAATAAAGTTAACCCCTTCCTCCCCATTGCCATTAGTACAGTGTCAGTTTTTTTTTTTGCACTGATCACTGTATTAGTGTTTTTGGGGATGTCAGTACCCCCCAATGTCAGAATGTCCGCCGCAGTCCCACCATAAGTCGTTGGTCGCTGCCATAAGTCCCTGATCGCCGCCATAATTCGCTGATCGCCGCCATTATTAGTATAAAAAAACCCTAAAAATTCCAGTATCTTTCCCGCCATTTGTAAACGCTATAACTTTCACGTAAACCAATTAATTTACGCGTATTGGGATTTTTTTTAGCAAAGAAATGTCGCAGAGTGCATTTTGGCAGAAATTTATGACTAAATTTGATTTTTGCATTTTTTTTTACTGGACATGTTTTATAGCAAAAAGTCCAAAATATTGTTTATTTTTCCTCAAAATTGTCAGCTTTTTTTTTTATAGCGCAAAAAATAAAAACCGCACAGGCAATCAAATACCACCGAAAGAAAGCTCAATTTGTGGGGAAAAAAGGACGTAAATTTCATTTATGTACCGTATTGCATGACCGCGCAATTGTCCGTTAAACTAGCGCAGCGCTGTATAGCAGAAAAATGGCGTAAATTGCAGTATATTTATACCATAATTTGTAGACGCTATAACTTCCACACAAAGCAATCAATATACACTTATTGGGATTTTTTTTACCAAAAACATGGAGCAGAATACATTTTGGCCTAAATTTCTAACCAACTTTGAGTTTACTATATATTTTTTTATAGCTGAAAATAAAAAATATTGTTTTTCTTCAAAATATTTGGCGTTTTTTTGTTTATAACATGAAAAATAAAAAGCGCACAGGTGATCAAATTACACCGAAAGAAAGCTCTATTTGTGTGAAAAAAAGGATGTAAATTTCATTTGGGTGCAGCATTGCATGACCGCGCAATTATCAGTTGAATTAGTGCAGCGCTGAGTAGCAAAAAGAGGCGTGGTCATTAAGGGGGTAAATCCTCAGGAGCTCAATGGGTTAAGCTTGTTTTTGGGGAGCTTAATGTGGCGTAACGTACAAAAAAGAGCTTAGATGTTGACCAATTTCCCCCAAACTTCACACAATAGAAGACTCTATCTATGGCAACCTATTCTGAAAATTTCAGGTCATTTGGTAAATCACACCAAAAGTTATTCACCTTAAGCTATATTTTACAATGCTAAAACAGTTAATGTGAACAA